GGTTCGCGAAACCCAGGCAATGCCAACTAATGACAGGGTTTACTCTTCTCGGGGGTCTAATCAGTGGGTTACCGCCTGGGCAACTAACCACTTGCTGACTTGGCTGAACACATAAGTAGGGTGTTTGCACAAGGGGACTCGTCGCCATCAAACAGGATACAACCTGCCACGAGTGAAGGTATGTGAAGGTGGTAAGTGACTAGCAAGAACTGGCCGGATCCTACTCCACTGTGTTCCGCCAAGTTGGTAAGTGATCAGCACAAACAGGCCGGAGCAGAATTCCGCTGGTGTTGGACCAAGTAAGAAATTGGTTAGCAAGGATTACGCAGGTTAGTCAGTTGGTAGCAAAATCCTATATCGCGGCTGTTCGGCCGACTTAGCAAATGGCTTGCAACAAGTTGTCCTGTCCAGTTAGGCGTATGTCCGGCCTAGAAGGAAAGTGGATAGCAATAAGTGCCTCCGTTTACATGGGAGCTCATTCAAGTTAAGAAGTGGCTAGCAAGAACGTTCCAAATCCTAATTCGAACCTGTTCGGCCAAGTTGGTAAATGATCAGCAATTGTGGCTTGTTGGGCAAGTCAGAAATTGGCCTAGCCTTTTGAAGTGGCTAGCAAGAATTGTCCGGATCCTACGATCTGGATGCAAATCGGTAAGTGGCTAGCCACCTAAACTTGCCAAGTTAAAGTCGGGCCGCGCCCTCAAACACTAGCAGACCGTTCTGGTCTCTTCACTAACCACTGGTTGCCAAGCATCCGACGCAATTATCTTGGTGAAAAACTATGAACTCCACAAGGCAACCAACCTCATCTCTCTCCCAACTCTTAACAAGAACTGAGGAACCGCATGGCGGGGGAGACTAAGCAACAAGGCCCGCAAGTTCGGGTGTTCACCAGACCCCCAACATAGTCTCGGAAAATCACCCTTGTGATACCAATCTGGTTGATCCTCATGACTCATTTGTCACTTTGCAGGAGGTTCCCTTGATATCACCAAAAGTGGCAACCTAAAACCCCATGTCCAACAACCACACCGAGCCCAGCCCCGGCTGTCCAGCTCGCGCAGGAACTTCTGCCACATCTGCGGGGCCCGTACAAAGGCGGCCTGGTGGCTTTTTGGGCCGGACGGATACGCCGGGCCCGGCAAAAGTGCCCCCTCCAAACTGCGCCAAAGAAGGGTCTTCCTCTTCAATCATGGAAGTGGAATGGGCCATTTCAAGCGGATAAATTGTTGGGAGAAGTGTGGATATCGTCTGATCGAATCCTGAACACCTGTCTGAGACTTATATTATATGGATCTCAACGTCTCTACTCACTCTCAAGAAAGCCGGTTGAGATGTTCGTCCACGAACATACTTTTCTCAGGCCTTTCTCAATATGTCTCTCTTTTTTTAGGGGACCAACAAAAACATGTGGTTTTCCTTTTGAAGGGGCGTACCCTTCGGATGGGACACCCTGGGGGTGGCTCATCCTGGAGTTGCTACTCGTTTTGTATGTGGTTCTGAAGGAAAATCAAAGGGAAAACCGCAATTTCGGGGGGGGGGGGGGGCACACCCAAAATTTCGCCGCGGTCAATATTCACTGCGCTCTCCGATATTGGAGTTTGGCGAGCCTGAAGTTCTACTGATCATTTGGTGAGGGCGGCCCATATAGTCCCATCCCTGGTGGATATCGGCTGCTCATGCCCAAACTCCTGCACCACTCAGTGGGCTTATCCAAATCGAATCGGAATCGGCTTCATCCATCCCAATGGGGGGCGACGTGGATTTTCTCCATCCCCCAACTTCCAGCACCTCGCTCTTCTTTTAGCCTCTGACTCGCTCAAAGAAGCCGGCGCCGCACCCTCCTCGGCGCGAAGCACAGCCAGTCCTTTGGGGGAGAGGTGGGACCTGCTTTGGGGAGGTGTCCACTTTGAACATGAGCAGGGAGAAGTAGATGGCAAAACTCAAGATTCCCGCAAAATGTGGGTACGTAAAGGGGATGAATTGGGATTTGTGCCCAACTTTCACCATGTCAAACCTGCGTGAAAGGTCTTGTGCGCCGCGTGCCTGTCCTACCCTTTGCTTGTCACCATTCTTTGCTAGGTGATGCATGTGAATGTGTTTGAGAAATTGGGGAAGCCCCCATTTGTAGGGAAACTGAAAAGGAAGCATTCATATTGGAAACAAATCCGACTGAGGGCACTCTAGGTGTTCGCTGGTATGGCGATTCCTGGACCACCTAAGACACCCTACGACGATTCCCCTGTAAATACCAAACAAACCATGTTTTCCCATGGTTTCAAAGTGGTGCGAACGGATTTCTCGCATCCGCAGTATGAACGACCCTGAACTCCGAAAGTGATTTGAGGTATCCGGGGACCCGGAACATGAAGTTGTTTCCTTGAGCAGGGCTCCTTGAAAGATACATTCTGCAACCATTTTAATCATGTTGTTTTTTCAACACCAAAATATAAAGGGAAACCACCATTTACAAGTTGCAATGTTCAGGTGTATAATGTAAGGATCCCTGTTCGGGGAAGACACCGGTCCAACATCTGAAGTACATGCAACAGTGGCCTAGCCGCAAGCAGCTCATTGACAAAAGTGTCTTGGTCGGTTTTCGGTTCGAATGCATTGCAAGGATCCCCTGAGTTTCCCTTTTCTGAGCCGCCCAAAGTGACCGCTTCATGGAAAACACCAGTGAATAGCAATTTTCGATGCGCAGCGAACAAGATGCCCAGCGCAACCCCTGTCCAGAACAGCTCTGAGCCACCGAAAGGAGCTTGCTTGGGCAACCCCAAAGCTTTTGGCTGGGGAACGAAAACAGAACTGCAGGAGCTACTACAAGTCACCAACCCATCCAAGGACTTGGTATTTTGTGTTTGTTTCTTGCGACCCAAACAAGTAGACCTGAGCATGTGTCACAATAAGACCCAAAATGGATCCTTTGGGTCTCCCTTTAAGCCAACCCCACAAGGGAACCCTCAAAAACAGACACGCCCAAGTAGACCTGTCGGAGTGATAATCGGGCGGGGTGCTGCACCGGAAAGGAAGGATCTTCTCTATGAACAAGTAGCTGATGCAGGGTCCAGGGACCCTTGTCCCTTGAAGAGCCCACTTGTGTTCTTCACTTCGGCTTAATCAAAAGGAGGGCCATACTGCTCAGGCGAAGGGAAACCCATTAGTTTGGTCCTGGTTCAAATCCGGAGGACCCCCAGAAAGTTAAGTTGCAGGTAGGGAAATGAAGGGAAACCAAAAAGCAAACATGCTCAACAGGAAAGCCAAGCCGAGCAATGAGCACGTTCCCTGCTCCAACACACCAACTTGTTCTTACGAGACGTCTTGAAAACCCTGGATTTCCATGGTAAATACCTTCCTTTATGGTCAGACTTGGAGTAGGGGCTTAGTGCAAAAGGGGCACGCCGCATGCTCTGAGGCCGTTTCACCTTGCCGACAAGCTGCGTTGCTGGGGCCTCAGCAACATGCAACGCAAGAGATGTGCGAGAAACGACCCAACAAAGCCCAAAGCCCGGTCCAGTCGACCCCTACGGGACCAGCATACCTGCAAGAAACCCGTGGACCTTTGTGGCAGAGTCCATATGGTAATACCATGTTTCCAAGAAAGTTCCACTTCATTCCGTACCCTGAATGCTTCCATAGTCCGTACCAGTCTAAACATATGACCATTGAAAGTGCTAAGGGCTTCAGAATCCGCCCACTCGCCCACTCGCCATGGGAAGTTCATGGCCTTAGTCCTCTATATAGCCAGGCACCAAACGGCTCCCCCGAATCAGACGATTTTGGTGGAACATGACATACTCAGATGCCCAGTGGCCATCGGAAAAAAGGGGCATCATTTTTTGGTTGGTTGAGTTTAAAGGGGAACCCTTCCCCAAAAAAGAGGAAAGAAGGGCGCCACCGCGCAACAGAGCATGAATATCTCTCTCAGTCTAAGCAAAGTCGGGGACCATCAAGAATCCAAAAGGGGAACCTTCCCAAGCTTCGGTATGTTAGCAAACATCTTTGTTCTTTGACGGACTCCAACATGAACAGAACCAAAAGCAAACAACATCAAATACCTCACTCCGCAATGCCCTGCAGACCTGCATCTTTATAGTCTTCGGCATTTTGTGTGTTGCACGCTCTTGTCCGAACAGGGCCCTGACTGGTCAAAGTCATCTGTAACTTGTAAGTGTCTTTGAAAGATTGACTCCGAAAAGTACCATCCAAGGACGGAAGGGCGAGCGACTTTTGAACAAGAATCGACATGTGGACATGCAGGGATGAAGAGAAAAAGTCATACCCGGTCACCACACCTTTCTGTCAGCTTCCACAATCGTAAGGACACCAATGTTTCGGATGGAAACCCATGATACACTGACTCCTGGTCGATTGATCTTGAGGGTGCTTGAGCAAACAAAGAAGCAGAACCGGGGATGCCGGCAAAATCCCCTTTCTGCATAGCCTAGTCATCCCACTCCAATCCCGAAAATCAAAGCCAAATCCCGTCGCCAGTCGCTTGTTTGTCTCTCTGACCTCTTCTTCCGCTTAAAACCGCGGTCTGCCGAGTGCTTCCGAAGCTTCTTTTCAGCACTCAACAACCTGGCGAGTTCATAAATCATTGAAACACAATGTGTGTGTGTGTGTGTCTGTGCTTTGGCGTAGTTTACGCTGAACAAAACGAGGATTGGCCCATCATTCTCCGAAACACTCGATTGCTCCCCGCTGGTCTGCCCGCGCTCCGCGCGTGCCCTGCTGTACCAGCGGTTCGACTTCAGCTCGGCTCAGGGTCCGAGCTCGGCTGAGACCCAGGCTTATCCTGAAGCGAACAAAAGTATATACATCTAGGCGACTTAAGGTGCCCTACATGCCTCTAACATCGCAAAGGGAAACTCACTTCAGGTCTTGGTTCAAGTTGTTCTCCCCCCCCAAACTTTTGGGGAAAATCAGTTCAAACTTTGGTCATGCCTTTTGGAGTCTAAAGCCCACCAAGTTGGGATATTCCTTTCTTGGGCGGGTCATTCTCACTCTGCGGCTTCGCGCGCCCAAAGCGAACGCCACTTGCATCGGGCCCAAGCCACCAAGTGATTCACCTGATAGCTGCAGACCAGCCTCGGACACATGGGCATGGGAATCCCAGGGTTCTTTCTGACAAGGTCGAGCATAATTCGTCAGTCCAAGTTTCTTTCCAAAAGGTCGGGGCTAAGGTCACACCAAGGCCATGCTTAGCCTTTAACCTGTTGGGAAAATGTGTATTTGCCAATTGACCAACAAAACTAATGCACCTTTTGCAGCAGGGGCAAGAGCCAAAGAGATGTAGTCCAATTGGTTTATTGAACGACAAAAACTGGGCGGTTTTCTCCCTTTCCTTGTGTAAGCGGGCGAACTGCGCGATTGGGTTTACTGTGGTTTACTGTGTTTGCGTACTCGTATGTGTGTATCAGCCATGGGAAATTGCCCTTTCCGTATACTACAGAGGATAATCCCTATGACTACTTCGGGAGGTTCTTTGATAAATCACTGAAGCTGAACAGGTGCCTTGCCCGCAACCCGCCAGGCAAGCTTTTCTCTACAGAAGGGGTACCCCGCCTCACGTGAAACAAAGCATCATGCCCCATGGCCACCTATGACCCGTTGGTTGATGATTTTTTCCAGCGGGGCACCCACCAAGCCAAGACAAGTTACCAAGGGGTGCCCGGCAATTCTTCAGCTGAACCACCAACTCTGACCATCTTTTACTTACCCCTTAAAACTCCCTGCGCCCCGGGGAAGTTAATCTGTTACAGACATATAGCCCATGTTACCCAAAAAATTGAGAAAACTTGTGCTTTTAAGAGGCAAGTTTCGTCTTGGGGTCACCCTGTTGGAGGGCACGACTGAGCAGCCGGGGAGTCGCCCTCGGGTGCAATTTGTTGGAAACACCATGCACAGTTGGGGTTCCAAACCCTACCAACCAACCCCTCAGGGGTAAAGAACGAAGCATGCAGTTTGCCGTATGGAATGAGGTGCATGAATTTGAAGATAACATAGGTACCAGCTGGCAGGATTGTTTGGCACTCTCCAAAAAGTCCTCCCCACTTCTACTTCGAAACACGCCTACAGGCAGACAGCAGGGTAGTGGAATGGTTCCATGTCTGCGAGGGTCCTTCTACGAAAGGGTCCCCTTTGAATGGAGAAGGCTCACTTGGAAGGTGCGGATCACCTCACTCGCCCAAAGGACCTAGCAACGGCAGACTCACCTTTTGGGACCTGGACTAAACATGGAACATGCCGGAAAACCAAAGGGCAAAAGGTCGGTGTTGGACAGAAGTGGAAAGGCATTTCCTGCTGGTCTGATGTTTCCCTTTCCACCATCAAGTGTGTGAAAGGGAAGTATTCTGAGTTGGCTCTGATAACCATAGAGGCAGCCAAAATAATCAGCACTGTAGGCAAAGCTCAAGGAGATGGCGATCACGAACAAAGCGCGCTTCCAGCGCGGCTTCGACAGAGTGCTCCTCCATTTGGTCTCCGATCCGTGCCGTGACCAAAGATTACCCACCCGCCGCCTAACATGGAAGTGCACAGACCCCTGTAGAAAGAGGACTTTCCTTTCCTCTTGGAAAGGTGGTTTGTGCACTTCCATGTGCCTTTTTGGGAGGGTAGTTTCCCTACGCCAGTTCAAGGTGCTGCTTAATGGGAGATATATCGGAAGCTCCGACCGTTCCAAGCTTGGCAAATGCGAGTTGCAATGTGTTTCCCCATCCCAGTTGGCTACGGCTAATGACCCTGGAAAAACGAAATACGAGCCCTTTGGGGATGACTACTCTCTGCTGAGGAGCCCAACAAGGGAACTGGGCGCCACTGAACAATTGGGCAATAAATTAACAAGTCTTACATTGGCAATACACGGGAAACACATCCTGGCACAGCTTGGGGCGGCAACTCCATACCCTGGTCGGTTGGTTCAATACATCTTGCCCGTGAAGCAACCACATCCAACCATCCAGCGCCTGTTGAAATCCCATAATCAATTACAGGGATACCAACTTGTTCGTTGCTGCAATACTCCAGTGGTATGGGCCCCTTGCCAATTTGTGGCATCTTGACATACTGGTCAAAGAAGGGACATATATAAAAATATATTTCAAGGGTCCCTGAATGTGGCATCCTCTAAATTACCTTAAGCGGTTTCAAAGGCTTCCTGAGCCGCCAAAGTAGTCTTCCAACACCCCTCATGCTACCACATGGGACGTTGAGTTCTCCTGGACTCCCAACACCCAATGCAAAGCCCCGCACTTCCTTCGACTTACTCAGAATTCGATTTTACGGCACGGCCATGGTGTCCCATTTCACCTTGGAGTGAAACAATGGAATCCTCGCTTCCTGAGTGCCTTGGCCAAAAAAGTCTATACATTTTGTTTGCCACTGATCTTCCCCAGAAACGAAAAAAGCCGAAGAACTCAGGAAGCGAGAACTAGGGACACCGAAAGCAAACCAATAGGCCGATTCCCATTTTGAGAAGCATCCAAATGGTCCTCAAGCCTTAGCGCAAACAACACACATAGCTCTGTTCCGTGGCTTCCCTTTGGCTTCAACGTCCACCTCTGGGTGTGGTTCTCCAAATGAAACCGCTGGGGCAAATCGGAGGTTTCAGTCTTTCCCCCATATACCAAGGCGACAATTTGGGGATTCCATTTTTTGAGCAGCCAAATGGCTGTGGGTCAGAAATATGTACCCGAAATGGAACCCTGGCAAATGGAAACATGGACTAGTGTATGTAAGCTAACCAAACGGCACCACACAAGCAAGCGATAACTCTTTTATCCAAGCAATGTGTTGGTGCCAGGGACTCATCTTCCCCTGTCAGATGTCTACGGCTGGGTGGGCCCCATGGGCCACCCACCACAAACTCTCAAAAACTGAAGAACGGGTGTGCAGACTGATAGCGCCCGCCCCTGGGCCGGGGCCAGGGGCACCCAGGCCACAGGGGGGTCTGCCACCAGGGGAAGTGAGTCACCCACCGGCTCCGGTCACGGGAGCATGGGTGGGCCCACGCTAAGATCAAATGCATCTCCATTCAGGAGACGCGAGAGAAAAATGAACTCCTCGCAGAGTTCCTGTTTAGGAACTCTGTGCAAAGGGTCGAACCCCGAGAAATCTGGGTGCGTCAGCTCATCGGCCCACTGGTGGAATTCCCGGGGCACGTGGTTGGCCGCCAGCGAGCAGCCATGGGTGTGGAGCAGGAAGACCAGCTCCATCAGGATAGCCGCGGTGTAGGGCTTCTTGGATCCAAGGTTGAGCATCGCCATGACGTTGCCCTGATTGTCACTGCCCACCGGGAGTCGGACCCGGGAGGACAGAGGGCCTTGGTGCGTGAGGATCATGTTACAGAGGAAGAGCGTGCCCAGCATTTCCAGAGCCGCAATCCTCCGCTTGGGATCCCCATTCTTGAATGCCCACGGGTACTCCTCCACGTGGATCTGCTCGTGGAACCAGTACACCTCCTTCTTCTCCGGCTCCACTTTGTTGGAGCACCAGCCTCCCACAAATGCCAGTCCTTCATCCGAGGCGCTAGCATCGCTGCAACCCCACCAAGAGGACTTCGGCAAGTAAGGGGAGTACTGGACGAAGGGCGTGTTGAAGAGGAACCGCAGCATGAACGCCAGCATCCTGACCACCTTAGGGGGTTTCCCCACCGTGGTGGTGGCCATTTTCCAGGCCCACAGTGGCTGAAGCATCGACTTCGCCAGCGGACATGCAGCAGTTGCCCATTGGATGCGGCCCAGGGCCTTCTCGATGTCCTTTGAGTGCATCGCCTGCCCTTCCACCATGATCTGCAAGACCTCCATCACCAGGATGTGTTTGTTGGCGGCCATGAGAACCTGCGGGATGTTCGGGTGGACCACGAAGCCCAGCCACGTGTTGACCTCCGCCAAATGTGTCTTCTTCCAGCTAAGCGGGGTGCCCAAGGCCAGGAGTGTTGCCAACAGCGCCACCGCCAAGTTCACTGCCCCCTTGCTGCGAAGCAGCCACAGGAAGTCATCCACAAAGACGAAGTTCCAATCCACTTGAGGGAAAAGTGCGTAGAGGACCCTGAGTAGAAGGGCTGCCAGGCGTCCCCAGTAGGATTGGGCACTGGCCATGCCGTATGTGCCTACCTTGTTCACCCACCATTCTTCCCCCAGTGAGGCCACCTGGAACCGCCAGTCCTTCCTGAGGACCTTCACTCTCCGGTGGGCCTTGGTGACGTCCGCCTTGAGCAGCACCCACCTGGTGCCCGGCTCCGGCCATTGCCAGCCCTCGGGTGGAGGTTTAGCGACCTCCCTATCGGGGCCGGGGGCACCCTGAGAGGGAGGTCCCTCCTCAGCTGCCGCATGTCATCCAGCACCGTCGGAGCCGTCGTCCTTTCCACCGTCTGGTTCCTGATGGTGTCATTGGCCCCGCCCACCGAGCCATCGTAGATGGTGCGGATCTTGTCCCCTTCGTCGATGCCCGCTAGGGGGCCTGGGCAAAGATCCCCCATATTGCAGCCACAGCGCGCTGCTGCCTCTACCTTGGTGAGAGGGCCATCTACCATGCCCATGGGGACCTCCTCCAGGAATGTGCTACGGATGAGCTCACTGAAGTGATCCGCTGAGGGGTAGTTACCCCGGCCCGTGGGATGAGGGAGTTCCTGGAACTCCGGCTCCTCCCCTTTTAGCTCCTTCTTGAGTGGCCAGATGAGGGTTGGCCTTCCGCTGGTCGGCCTGCCCCTGGCGCCAGGATCTCCCTGATATCTTCCAGCAGGTCCTCCGGGAAGGGGTGTGACCCGTCCCCTACCTGAAATTTTGTCCCCCCTGAAGGGGGAAGAGTTTCACCCCGTAGTTCGACCTCCCTGCCCGCCGGCTGTTGTTGGTGTCCGGACCTCAGGATTGTCTGAGGCCGAGACCGGACGTGAGCCCAAGGTTAGTCCCGCCAACGCTTGTTGGCCGGCCTTCAGCCTCAGGGACTGGCGCTTGTTGTCCCCCGGCGTGTGGGGAGATGGTTTCCTGTGCCGCCTCGGGGGGGTCGTTGGGTTCACTTGGGGCACCGTGCCCCCCGGCCTCAGCGCCTCCAGGACGGGTCCCGCTCTGCAGAGGATGGCCGCTGCGAGAGCTCCGTGGTTGCATCGCAGATCATGCCAATGGTGAAGGGGAAGGTCCGTTGACAATGTCGTGGACTTCACTACCACCTGGCCCAGGCGGCACTCGTCAAACTTGATGAGGGAGTGGTGGAGTGCGTTCGCCCATTGAATATAGGCCCGTGTGAACCAGATCGATGAGCACCTCGCTGCGCTCGGGCTCTTGCTGCACTCCATTGGGTCCATCGGGTGCTCCAGGAAGGAGGAGCCCACCTGCGGGACCGTTCGTTGACCTAGTCCTTGGTAGGCCAGCGAGGTCAGGTACATCTGTCGGAGCATGAGCACGCTGTCGTTGTCCGTGTCCTCCCTTACCCGGGGCTCCAGGTACTCCAAGCCCCACAGGGTCTGCTCCGCCCTGCCCCTCACCGGCGGCGGGCCTCCCGGTTTGGGGAACCATCTGAGAATGCTCCACGTTCTGCAGTTGGGGCCGCCCCCCACAAAGGCGACCTTGCCCGCCATGGCCATGGAGCACATTGTAGAGTATGGCTCGTCTCTACTCCGAGAAGGCCGGGTTGTAGGCATGGAGGTAGGCATCCAGGGCCCCCGCGTCAGCAGGATGAGGGTCGGCTTCGACTCCGGCACCGGTCGTGGCGTCCACCTTAGTCTGGACCTCAGTCTTTCCGGGGTGTCTGGTGGGGCTTGTCCCCCCTGGGGTTTCCGTGTGTCCTTTGTCCGACCCACTGGTCGTCTGGCCCTTTGCCCTGACGGTTCTGCCCGCCCTTGGAACGCCCCTTGCTGGGCGGATCCCCACCTCTGGGTCTCTCTGGGGGTTCTTCCCACTGCCTCGGTGGGTGCGGGGGAAAAGGGTGCTTCCGCCCTTCTGGAGTGCCCTGGCTGGATCCACTCCCTTTCTTCGGTGGAGGGGCTTCCGGGGCCGGTGGCACCCTGGAGAGGTCCCCTCCCTCCTGGAATGCCTTCTCGGATACCAGTCGCCGGACCGCGGCCACCCAGGTAGTCCACCAGGGGATCCCCGTGAAGCTGTACTTCGGAGCAATCAAGGGGACCGGGTTGCGGTTGATTCGTGCTGCTGAGACCGTCTTGGTCTGCCAGGCCTTCAGCTCCACGGTGTGGATCAGGTCCTTAGGGTGAACATGCTGGAGGTCATTGAAACGAGCGCTGCACCCTACTTGGAACCGGGCGAAACCCAGGATGAATGCGTCCAGTACCTCGTGTCTGCTCCTCCCCGGGGCCGCCTGCGTACCGGGGCCGGTGGCACCCAGGTAATCGTAGCCAGCCCCTTCCTCCAGAGCCCATATGACCTCTTTGCTGGGGACCACCGCCTTGCGCTGCGGCCGGGTGACCGTGTCCGTGAGTGCCTCTTCCAACGAGCTCTTCTTGGACTTGAGGCGATGGAGCTCGTCTATCTTCAGCATACCGAAGGTCTTGGAATACCATTTGAGAGCTTGTACGGGGTGACCTCCTCTTCGGCGAGCTGGTTGAGGAGAGAGCGGACATGTCGTTCCTGCCAGGGAATCACCGTGCAATGCTGCCTGAGTGTCCGGAACCTATTGCCCCCCAGGAGGTCCAATGCCTCCTTGCGGAAGTCCTCCCGCAGGATGTCCTGCATGTACGTGATGTGCTCCGCAAACGGGGCAAAGTGGGCGAGGAGCCGTTCCGCCCACTTCCCGCGCATATGGAGTTCCAGCGCTCGCTGGGTCGTGGGCTCCATTTCCCTTATTTTGCCCGGGCGCCAGTGCCTCCACTTCAGAAGCTCCGGTTGTTGGAGTGGGGGTGGGTCATCTCGTGAGAACCACCTCAATTGGTCCTGGCGGTCCCATTCATTCTCCAGCGGGGAAAAGTCCTCGCTCGGCTTGCCATCCGCCGTCGCCAGGAGGAGGAACCATATGCTGTCCCACAGGTCGGCCAGGTCCGCCGCGGACAGAGGCTGGGGAAGCCTGCCTGCCGCCGCCGCCACCAGGCCGTTGAAGTATTCCGTCGGGACCACGTGGGCGTCTTGTCCTACCGGAATGCCCGAGAGTTCCAGGAGCTGAGAGAAGCGGATTGCCGGCTCTCCGCCCAGCTTCCTCCCCTCCTCCTCAGTGCCTTGGCGCAGGCACATCAGGACCAACAGCTCCCCGTCCGTCTGTCTCGGGGAGAAGGACTCATCCGCCAACGTGTCCCATAGGACCCTTGGAATGCGGTCCCAAAGACGTGTGTAGGGCGGGCGCATAAGAAACTTGGTAGATACCCTAGCCATGATGAAAAAGGGGGTTTTGAGCCTCCTATCGAACCGCCGGGACCCAACCGCGGCACAATGCATGCAGAATGCAGAGTGCAGATGGAGCAGGCAGGCCACACGCATCCCGACACGTCCACCGACCAGGTGGGGGATACCCCAAAACCATAAGGGGACCTCAAGGAAACCATGAGTCGGCCGCAGCCACTTTTTCCGAACCGTGGCTGAGATGGCCCGTCCTTGGGGCAGCTAATGCATGTGGCCTCATGGTCGAGGAGATCAAGCTGCCGTGACGTGGCTCCACTGCCATGCCACCGGAAAAACCCACGTGCTCCACCAAAAGGCAATAAGCTAGGAAACAATTGTGAAAACCGAACCCAAGGAAGACATTTCCCCCCCCCCCGGAGACGGGGCCAATGGCACCCAAGTCCCGGGAGGAAGAGATCACACGACTCCCACATCCGACAGGGTTGTGAGACAAAACCTAGCGGCTCCCTCCCTTCAGGATCGCCTCCTTCGCCACCGAGTGGATTGCCGCCAGCCCCGACTTCTCCGGGTTGCTCAGGATGACCGACCACAAGGCCGTGGAGACATCCCCCAGGCCGTTCGAGGAGCTGAAGCGCCCAGGACCAGCCGCTCATCCCTGGGAGGCTCCGTTGGCTCCACCCTCTTGTAGAACTCCATCCGATCGCGGATCCACTGATTGTACAGCTGCTCCGGGGGCTCGTCCATCACCAACTGCAAGCAGGTGGCCTTATCCCTGTGCACCCCGTGATCTGGAGCAGCCTGGTCCCCCCGCGGCTCGCCTTCCAAAAGCCCTTGCAAAATCTGCACATATAGCCCCCCGTGGTCTTGAACTTTTCCTTGCTCACCACTTCCCAGGCACTGATGCTTGGCAAGACCAAGCCACACTCCACCTCCTTGGGGAAGTGCTTGTTGACGTACTTTTGGCCCGCGACCGCCGTCACCGGTACCGCCTGGTGCCCTGGTCTGGGGTGCGGAGCGTGGTGTCTGCCCCCCCCAGGGTGTGGCAAATGCCACTTGGAGACGCTCCAGTGCACTGGAGAGGTCATTCATCACATCGGTCGCCGAAGCTGACGGGGCCTCGGGCTCGTCCAAAACCAAGCCGGCCGCCACTGCCGCCTCCCGTGTGCGAATGTCCTGGGCCTCCTGGCTGGCCATTTCAACCTCCTCCACGGTGAGTGTCTGGTCCTCAATCAACTCAAAGGAAGTTGCCGAGGTTGCCGAGGAAGCCATTGCTTGGTCGGGGTTAAGTTCGAAAATGCAAAAGATCAAAGTTTTTCAATCAGCTTGGGTTCCAGGAACCCAGAGCAATGCTTGAGCCAAAATGGCACATGCCATTATGGTCAAGCATTCCACACACAGTTCATGTTTCCACATGCGTTTCAATATTAACAAAAAACCTGCGGTCCCCTGTTGGTCTAATTTTGACCCATACCCAAATGGAAACCCCGGAAACTCCCCCGCCAGAATTCCCTGGGTTCAGTTCACCCCACGTCTCCTCCGCAAAGCCTTGGCGTCCAACTCCAGCACGTCCTGTCGACTCCCATTTTTGCGGCTGACTTCGGAGCGTAATCCCAGTTCGCACAAGCCAGCGCCCAACTCCCCACGGCATGTTTGGTTGCCCTCGGAGGAATTGGGCAACATGGCGCAAAAAGCCGGCCAGCTGCTGCGGAGAAGAAAACACAAGTCTTCCCCCAGCGGACAACTTTTCTAAGCAGCCACTGGTCGGCTCCGAAGCGATCGGCGCCCACCGGCGAAACCGGGTGGAATCCTCTGGTGTGAACTCAGGCGCAAATGGGGGAACCCCAAAACGTGGTCCCTGAAAACCAACCTGAAAGGGGTACCCGCCCAAAAAACAAACAATCAAACAAACAGACAGACAGACAAACGAACAAACAGACAAACTGACAGACAAACTGACAAACTGACAAACAGACAAACAGACAAACAGACAGACAGACAAACAGACAGACAGACGGATTTTGGGCCTTGCTTGCCTCACCCTACGGATTTTGGGCCTTGCTTGCCTCACCCTCCCAAGAAACGCTTTTATTTCCCTGTCCTTAAGGCCAACACCAGCCCTGACGGGCCAAGCTGAAGAAAGCAAATTCGTCTCCTTGCCATGGCTTGAGTTTAGAGTTGAAATAAACTTGCCGGTGCGATAGGTCTGGAATGACCTTCCGGGTGTTGGGAGTGAACCTGGGGATTCCCTTTGAGGAAACCATAGGGGATGGTTTATATAGGGTCATTCCATCATTCCCTGAGAACCAGCATGTAAAGAATGGTCACTGGAAAATTTGGGGCACCGGTCAATTGGTCAACGTTTTGATTCGGGAAACCCAGTGACGGGCCCTAGAAACCGAACTCGAAGACCAACCCCTAAGACCAACCCACCAGTTCGCTCTTTGTTAAGACCGCCGAGCAACCTAGGTCCTCCAGTAGAGAGGTCAGAAAAAGTTGGTACCCGATTCTTTCCTGTAGCCTATTTTCGTAGGGGAGCCTTCCCCCAAAAAAGAAACGGTAACAAGGGCACTACTGGAGAACCTAGCAACAAGTAAAGCTTCTAAACCCAAAAGCACTTGCGCCGTCGCCCTAAAAACGCGCGGGTTTTTCGCCTACGGTCCCCTACGGTCCTCCGGGTCGAGGCGCCAGCCTAGGGCGCCCACGGAATCCCTGGCCTGGGATATGGCGCGCGCAGTTCCATGTGCTCAGATCTGCGAACAGCTTGTAAGTTGTAAACCCTAAAACCCCTCAAAACCTACGGAGAACCGGAACCTAATAAACCTAAGGAGCGTAAGGAACTTAAGGAGCCTCAGGAACCTAATAAACCTAAGGAGCGTAAGGATCGTAAGGGACGAACACCTAAGGAACCTGTGAAACCACCACTAAAACCCTCAAAAACCTGGAAAACCTAAACAAGTCGGAGCGCTGGGCCCAAGCGAAAGCAACACAAGTGCTCCAGAAGGCGAGCGGTAGGGAACTTCGGGAAACCAAAGCTGGCGAAAGCGCCACTGGGAAGTGCGACCTGCTAGAGTGGTGGTGCTTTACTTCTCACTTGCTGAGTGGATGGCCCAAAAAAAGTCCAAGCTTTTTATTTACCACCAAAATGGTCTTTCCAGAAAGTTTGAAGTCCATCAACTCAGGAAGTGAGTATTGGGATACACTGGGCTTACATTCATGCTTGAATAGCTTGGTTCTGATCGAGCGGACTGAACAGGTCAGATCTCTTGGGTTGCCAAGTGGTTCCCCAGCAAGAATCTGTGGGGGTCGGGAAGTGAGAATATGGATTTCACCAAATCCTTTCAGCTTGCTTAACAGGGAACCACTTGGTCTTTCGCCAAGTGCGTTGTTAGTACCCATGCCCCGTAAAAGGTGACCCTGTTGGATTATAGTCAGGTGGATAACTTGCTAACTTGGCCGAACATTCAAGCACTCCGAGGCAGGTCTTGGTTCTTGCAGAACCCACAGTCAACCCACCAACCCCCCCTCTTTTGGCGGAACATTGCCCAAGCCAGGAACCATGGATGTGAGAAAGGCCACTTTCTGTGATGCCAAGGGAACCCCTCATTTCCTGCTTCTCAAGAGTCTTTTCTGCTTTTCTACCCCCCCCCCCCTCCCCCCAATGGTAGATTCAAGGGACAAATCCCGACAGTTGCCGACTTCGATAACTTCCAGGAACAGGACTGAATTTCGCGAGTCCCCCTTACCCTCCAGTCCACTCACGTGGGACCTCAGTTTGCACCCTTTTCCTTTAAAAGGGATCGACCCGCTGCTAGGTGCCAGGTTCGTGGACCAGAGCGTCGTTCAGCGCGTGTTTTTTGGGCGGCGGCCTGCTGCACGCTGCGGGTGCCCACCAATGGGATGGCGCCGTGGCAGATGGTCCAGTTCAAGCCTCGGCTTCGGTTTGCTTCGGTGTCCGCCGTGCAAGGAAGGCCATCCTGGCTCATAGGAACCCTCGTATCAGGCTGTTTACGGCCGATATCTATGGATTGGTGTGCGGGGTTTTTAGAAACATGCTAAGTCATCGTAATATCGCGTGACAATATATTTGACCGCCAGCACGTCATGGATTTACTTGCTGGTTCGATGGGGGAATGTAGGAACTGCCATGAGACCCCACCATTCGGGTTCACCTGATGATTCCCTGAGAACCAGCAAGTGTCCCTGTCCATTTCCGAACAACATTTGGGGAAGCCCAAATTGGCGCAACCTCTGGGAATGCGGGGGGCTGTTTTCGGGCTGGGAATGGTGGATAGCCCCTTCCCGTCCATTTCCAGGTCTCGACCTTTGGGTTTTGACATGTTTGTGTTACATCCAACTAAGGATGCATCGCATCCCTCCTATTGAGCACCTCAAATCTCCGATTAGCTGGGTAGCTTTCTGATTCCTTTTGGAACATAGTTTTTAACATGTGGCTGTGAGTCAAAACCCATGGTACCATTTTGGGGTAGGTGCACCACTCATTTCAATCTATTTTCGTGGGGATTGGGATGTTTAATGGGGGTACAATTTGGGTTTTGTCCCATGGCCATGTGGGCTTAATGAAGAGTGGCTGGGTGGTCATAGCGGCAACCGTGCAGGAAAGCTGGCTCGTGCATTTCTTGCTTTGTGGGCTTACAGGGCCGGATGGGGTCGCGCACGGATTCGAAAACCAGGCGGACCGAGATTCCAAAACCGGGTCCAGCGAGGTTCCAAAACCAGAAGCACCGGGGTTCTAAAACTGCCGGAGCATGATTCCGGAATCTCTGAAACTGACCAGTCATTTTCTGCTCCAGCTGGGCTCGGCGGTTTGTGCGTCCAACCCTCAGGCAGGCATCATCGTGGCTCAATGTCCTCCAGCGCCTACAAGACATTGTAAAGCGTCTCTGTGTTAGACGCAGCACAAAGCTAAGATCACAGCGGGCCTCCTGCGTCTCGGCCAACTCGTCCCACACAGCATCAGCCATGTCTCCACGCACAGACTTGGATCTGCTCAGCCCACGCCGCCGCTCATGTTGCATGCGCACCGCGCCGGGCCTCGCCAGATCGCCACGTCACGAGATGGAAAGTAGCGCTACGAGCGCCGAGTTCTCCCATGCAGTGAAAAACAAGACATCATGCTCATCTTGTCTTTCCTGTCCGGAAACTCGGGCGCCATCCCGGACCTTTTAGACATTTCGGAAACTCTAGCATTTTGCACGCCCCAACACAGAAAGACAGCAAAGTAGCAAACAGCGTTTCATCAGACAAAGGGCAGGCTACTGCAGCGCATAGTTCACGCCGAGTCGCGGCACATTGTACCCTTCAGCTGGCTTTTTGACGAGCCGGCCGCTGTCGCTCAAAGCCGCAGGCTCCGTGATGGATCCGAACTGCTGAAGGTAGCTCTCCTTCGTCGCTGCTTCACGCAACAGGTCGCCCCCGGCCAGCCAAGCGCCGATCAATCACAACGGAACCAGCTGCACGGCGCAGTCAACTAAGATATCCATCGAGGCCTCTATTCAGCATGCCACGCGCCAACCGGCGGGCCGCGCCTTGGGCCACACGTCGAAAGCGGTGGTGGAGAGGCAGATCATGTTTTCTTCGCTGGCTCTCACCTTGGTTTCCTGCTCGTCCACGTGGTTCTGCAGGACTGTCTTTGCGCACGGCAACTCCTTAACGATCCTTCGTCGGAAAGATCCGTCCTGGCACGTGGGCTGCTCAATGCACTCCATGTGACAAACGGTGACAGGTCTCTTGCCTCAGGAACCTTGGCCCAGCATTCTGCTGCCGTCGTGACGGCTTGCAGAGCTTTGCATCGCTTCCGTAGCGGCAAGCGCATTTGCCCCGCCACCTGGGAACCGCAGATACGCGAGGAACATGTGATGAGTTGATGGCTGTCGAACAATTAACGAAAACGCTACGACGCGTCGGAACAAGTCTCGCAAACACGTACACTTCCGCAGCAAGCTCGGGTAAGCACTTCTCCGCGTGAGGAGTCGCCAACGCGAGACGCAAGAACGACAACTGGCAGAAGAAACTGCGACGACTCGGCGACCCTAAACCAGCCTATAAGCCAACCCCAAACCGACCCTAAACCAAACCAAGCCAACCCTAAGCCCACCCAAAACCAACGTAAACCAACCCTAAACTTACCCTAAACCAGCCCAAACAATCCTCAAACCCCAAACGCCCTGGTCCAAGCCTAAAATTTCCCTAGAAATAAAGCAACCCTACACCAAGCCCAAATCAACCTTAAGCGCACCCTGAACCAACCATCCAGCCCTAAACGAACCTGAAACCCTAAACCAAGCCGACAACAACCCTGGACCAACACTAAAACCAAGGCGAAACCAACCTTTATCTGACCCTACACCACCCTAACCCAAAGCCGACCCCAAACCAGCCCCAAACCAACCCTAAACCAACCCTAAGCCCACCCTAAACCAACCATAACCCAACAAACCTCAAACCCTAAACCAGCCCTAGGCCAGCCTTCAAGTTTCGGCAACTAAACCAAACCCAAACCCGCCCTACATCAACCCTAAACCACGTCAACCCTAAACGACCCCGACCAGCTGACAACAGCCCTAGACCAACCCTAAACCAAGCCCAAGCCAACCCCAAACCGACCCTAAACCAACCCAAGCCAACCCTAAGCCCACCCAAAACCAACGTAAGCCAACCCTAAACTTACCCTAAACCAGCCCAAACAATCCTCAAACCCCAAACGCCCTGGTCCAAGCCTAAAATTTCCTTAGACCTAAACCAACCCTACACCAAGCCCAAATCAACCTTAAGCGCACCCTGAACCAACCATCCAGCCCTAAACGAACCTCAAACCCTAAACCAAGCCGACAACAACCCTGCACCAACCAAAGCCAAGAATAAACCGACCCTACACCAACCCGAGCCTGAAACCGACCCAACAACAGCCCCGAACCAACTCTAAACCAACCCTAAACCAACCCTAACCCAACCCCAAACATCAAACTCTGAACCGGCCCTAAATCAACCCTAAACCAGCCCTAAACCAACCCTGAACCAACCCTAAACCATCCCTACGCTCACCCATAAACCAGCCCAAAACAAACCTCAAACTCTAAACCAAGCCGACAACAACCCTGGACCAACACTAAAACCAAGGCGAAACCAACCTTTATCTGACCCTACACCACCCTAACCCAAAGCCGACCCCAAACCAGCCCCAAACCAACCCTAAACCAACCCTAAGCCCACCCTAAACCAACCATAACCCAACAAACCTCAAACCCTAAACCAGCCCTAGGCCAGCCTTCAAGTTTCGGCAACTAAACCAAACCCAAACCAGCCCTACATCAACCCTAAACCAACCCCAAGCCAACCCTAAACGACCCCGACAAGCTGACAACAGCCCTACACCAACCCAGCCTAAGCCAACCCCAAACAGACCCTAAACCAACCCAAGCCAACCCTAAGCCCACGTAAACCAACCCTGAACTTGCCCTAGACCAGCCCAAACAATCCTCAAACCCCAAACGCCCTAGTCCAAGCCTAAAAGTTCCCTAGACCGAAACCAACGCTACATCAACCCCAAATCAACCCTGAGCGGCCCTAGACCAACCCTAAACCAAGCCTAAGCCAACCCCAAACCGACCCTAAACCAACCCAAGCCAACCCTAAGCCCACCCTAAACCAACGTAAACCAACCCTAAACTTACCCTAAACCAGCCCAAACAATCCTCAAACCCCAAACGCCCTGGTCCAAGCCTAAAATTTCCCTAGAAATAAAGCAACCCGACACCAACCCCAAATCAATCCTAAGCGCACCCTAAACCAACCATCCAGCCCTAAACGAACCTGAACCCTAAACCAAGCCGACAACAACCCTGGACCAACCGAAGCCAAGAATAAACCGACCCTACACCAACCCGAGCCCGAAACCGACCCAACACCAGCCCCAAACCAACTCTAAACCAACCCTACACCAACCCTAACCCCACCCCAAACATCAAACTCTGAACCGGCCCTAAATCAACCCTACACCAGCCCTAAACCAACCCTAAACCAACCCCAAACCAACCCTGAATCCCTACGCTCACCCATAAACCAGCGCAAAACAAACCTCAAACCCTAAACCAAGCGAAGCCAACCTTTATCTGACCCTACACCACCCTAACCCTAAGCCGACCCCAAACCAGCCCCAAAACAACCCTAAACCAACCCTAAGCCTTCCCTAAACCAACCAAAATTCCACAAACCTCAAACCCTAAACCAGCCCTAGGCCAGCCTTCAAGTTTCGGCAACTAAACCAAACCCAAGCCAGCCCTACATCAACCCTAAACCAACCCCAAGCCAACCCTAAACGACCCCGACCAGCTGACAACAGCGCTAGACCAACCCTAAACCAAGCCTAAGCCAACCCCAAGCCGACCCTAAACCAACCCAAGCCAACCCTAAGCCCACCCTAAACCAACGTAAACCAACCCTAAACTTGCCCTAAACCAGCCCAAACAATCCTCAATCCCCAAATGCCCTGGTCCAAGCCTAAAATTTCCTTAGACCTAAACCAACCCTACAAATCAACCCTGAGCGGCCCTAGACCAACCCTAAACCGACCCTAAACCAACCCAAGCCAACCCTAAGCCCACCCTAAACCAACGTAAACCAACCCTAAACTTACCCTAAACCAGCCCATCCTCAAACCCCAAACGCCCTAGTCCAAGCCTAAAATTTCCCTAGACCTAAACCAACCCTACACCAACCCCAAATCAACCCTAAGCGCACCCTAAACCAACCATCCAGCCCTAAACGAACCTGAAACCCTAAACCAAGCCGACAACAACCCTGGACCAACCGAAGCCAAGAATAAACCGCCCTACACCAACCCGAGCCTGAAACCGACCCAACACCAGCCCCAAACCAACTCTAAACCAACCCTAACCCAACCGGCCCTAAATCAACCCTAAACCAACCCTAAACCAACCCTGCCCCGACAAGCCAACAACAGCCCTAGACCAACCCTAAACCAAACCTAAGCCAACCGCAAACCGGCCCTAAACCAACCCAAACCAACCCTAAGCCCACCCGGAACCAACTAAAATAACCCTCAACCAACCCTAAGCCAACCCTAAACAACTCCCTGAACCGATCTTAAACCAGACCTAAACCAACCCAAAACCAACCCTAAGCCCACCCTAAACCAACCATAACCCAACAAACCTCAAACCCTAAACCGGCCCTAGGCCAGCCTTCAAGTTTCGGCAACTAAACCAAACCCAAGCCAGCCCTACATCAACCCTAAACCAACCCCAAGCCAACCCTAAACGACCCCGACCAGCTGACAACAGCCCTAGACCAACCCTAAACCAAGCCCAAGCCAACCCCAAGCCGACCCTAAACCAACCCAAGCCAACCCTAAACCAACGTAAACCAACCCTAATTTGCTTTAAACCAGCCCAAACAATCCTCAAACCGCAAACGCCCTGGTCCAAGCCTAAAATTTCCTTAGACCTAAACCAACCCTACAAATCAACCCTGAGCGGCCCTAGACCAACCCTAAACCAAGCCTCAGCCAACCCCAAACCGACCCTAAACCAACCCAAGCCAAGCCTAAGCCCACCCTAAACCAACGTAAGCCAACCCTAAACTTACCCTAAACCAGCCCAAACAATCCTCAAACCCCAAACGCCCTAGTCCAAGCCTAAAATTTCCCTGACCTAAACCAACCCTACACCAACCCCAAATCAACCCTAAGCGCACCCTAAACCAACCATCCAGCCCTAAACGAACCTGAAACCCTAAACCAAGCCGACAACAATCCTGGACCAACTGAAGCCAAGAATAAACCGACCCTACAGCAACCCGAGCCTGAAACCGACCCAACACCAGCCCCAAACCAACTCTAAACCAACCCTAACCCAACCGGCCCTAAATCAACCCTAAACCAACCCTAAAACCAACGTGTACCAATGCCAAGTTTCATCGGATTGTGAATCCCGGTTTTGGAATCCCACTTGTTTTTAGACTCCTAGTTCCAGGGAAAAGCCGAATCCTGGTTACTGAATCCGGTCTGGTTTTGGAATCATAATTGATGGCCATAGGACAGTTTTTGACGCAACAAAGCGCCTTGTAGAGGATTTCCTCTGAAAGCCATGTCAAAGACCCAGAGCGCCCTCTTATATGGGTGTGGCTCAAGATTAAACAGCAGGGTTACGCAGGTTTTTGTCTTTGGTTCCATTTACCAAGGTGCCATTTTGGCACATCTTTCTGAGCCATAGCTATATATCGGTTACGCTTTTTATTGGACATCCACTGAAAGCTGAAAGAAGCAACCTGGAGCTCTGCGGCCACAAACCTGTTTTGAGATTCTGCCCAACAGGATCCTAAGGGCCTGCCTGACTACCTAAGTCCACCACCAGCCATGAGTTGATGTTACAGGACCCCTACAAAAGCCACCCGGTGATGGGCACTGAAGGTCAAAGGGGCGCCCAACTCACCACCCTCCAACCTCACCTCTGCGAGGCGCAGATCTGCGCCATGGACTTCTGATATTTCTGGGCCAGTCTTTCCTACAGTCCAACGAGCCAGGACAAAAACATGGAGTTCGGGCTCTGGCCGTGCAATGGATCCCATGCGGGTTAGCGAAAGAGTCTATGAGTCAGTTCATTGAGGGTATTGAGAGCCATGAGCCAAGATCCAAACCCCAAAATCCATGGACCAGAATCGGGCAGAACTCCGCACCGATCAAGGGGACTGTCCCCTAACCTGGGTTTTGAGTGGCTAAAAGGCAGGGCCTAGGGCTTGGGCACGCGGAACTCTAGAGGGCTACCGCTTTCGGATGCGGGATTTGTGGGTTTCGAGGGCCTGGAAAATAGACTCGTGTCCATGGCCACGAAGGGGAGCGTTTGCTTTTGGCCGATTGTTTTGCCCACTCAGTGCCACTGTCTGTGCTGTTTCTGTTGGGCGATTCTTGTTTTGGCACCCCGTGTTTTGGTTTGTTGTACCGTTTTGGGGGCGCGTGTAAAGGACAACCAACGGAAATGCGGAGTTTTGTTTTGTGCTGCTTTTGGGAAATGACAAAGGAAACCTTCCATTTCAAAATTCCCTCTGGCTATCCGCTAACGCCCCTCCAAAACGGGAAACCAAAAAGTGAGCCCAATTTAACCTTCGGGGTGAAATCATACATGTTTTCAATAGAGAAGTCTCAAGAGGAAAACCCAATCGCAGGGGATACCGCAAACCACGCCAGCAAGAGAGCCAAGAGAACAACAACTCCCTGATTGGTTGGTTGGTTGTTTGGTTGGTTGGCTGGCTGGTTGGTTGGTTGGCTGGCTGGTTGGTGTGTGTTTCTTCAAAGACAGACGTAGCCAAAGAAAAGTGGCAAAAGGGAAGCCCCACCGGAGGCCTGATAACAGGCACATCTAGCACATCTGGCACAAGATGAACAGTTACTTCACAAGCTTCAATGGATATGGGTACAAATTCGAACTGGAAACCTTTCGGTGGACATCGGTTTTATTTGGGGATTCATGTCCACCAACAAGCTTTCAGGTGGTTCCCTATTCCGTATATTCTGCTTAACGGAAGGAACCGCCCAAAAGGAAACTCGATCAACATGCCAGGACAAGGTCATGGCTGAGTTCACCCAAACGCTCCAGAGCCAAACCCCGAACAAATAATTCCAACTGTCGGATTCTCTTTGTATTTCCCGAAAGGATGCAGTTCCGAAGATCACCTGCTCAGGACAATCTCAGCTGGATCACCTTTAACATGACCAAAATAGATCCTCAAACCCTCTGGCAGGCGCCCGTTGCTTTCCTTGCTGGTCCAAGGATTCCCGGTTCAAAGGAAACCACCAGTTGGATGGTGAATATAAGGGGCATTCCAATTCTCACTCCCTGCCTCTCGCACCAGAAAGTGTTGTTCTCGCCACAGGGTTCCTTAAAGCAAGAAACCCTTTGTGGGTTTGTATTGGTGGTTGTGGGCGCTGAACCCCTGGCAACCCGGAACACCACCAGTAAATGGAATCCTCTCGCGCCAGCAAGTCGCTTTTGGATTTGGGGATTTCGGAATAATTCACCACCAGTTGAACCAGTTGGATGGTAAATATAAGGGTCATGCCACTTCTCATTCCCTGCCTATTCTATCACACCAGCAAGTTTATATATATATATATATGGTACCCCCCCAGTACCCAGGTGTTGTTGCATCATGTATCAAAACCATTGATATTTACAGTGTATTCTGATTGAACTCATGCATTTTCTGCAAGGCCATTTTGTGGACCCAAAAACACAAAACAAACAAACAATCCTAGCCCCCACCATGGCTGGTTTTTAGGTTTTTTTTGGTTTTTGGGTTTCTTGGTCCAGGGAAATGTTGCGCAACAAATTCCAAATGTTGCGCAATATTTGAGCATGATGAGAGGATATGTGAACCTTTGTGAAAGAAGGCACCTTCTGGGTGAGAGGATATGTGAATTTTCTGTAGAGAAGAGTTATTGAAAAAGACATGTTTTGTGTGAGATGATATGTGAGTCTTTGTGGATGAGTCAGGGTTACAGTGATGCACAAAATACAGCAAAAGACAGTAAGTATCATGTAAAACCACCATTTATGTAACACAAACTGTCCCAGCCATAGCCTGGCGTTATTCTACACAGGGTTCACTTTCCTTGGCAACTCTTTCACATATGCTGCCGTTGTTTCATTGAAAGAAGACATGTAAAAAGACATGTGTTGGGTGAGAGGATGTGTGAATTTTCTGTGGAAGAGCCTTTGAAAGAAGGCATGGTTTGTGTGGGAAGACATGTGAATTGAATTTTGTGTGGAAGAGCCATTGAAAAAGGGCATGGGTCACGTCCAAGGCGTCTTTCTTCAATGAGGCAAACCTCCTTCCTCTGGTCTCGCAGTGTGCAAATCTGAGCTGTTCTTCCTGCCTGCTTCCGCGGTCAAAGCACATCTGAACCAAGCCCAAACCTGGGTACCTGCGGGGGGGGGGGGGTAGCATATATATATATATATATATATGTATATATATTTTTGCCCATGTCGATCCCAGGCGTCAATGGCCGCCCTCAGCTCTTCGATCTCCGCGCGCTGCAAGCCCGTCATCTTGGCCAGCCGGATCTTGCCGAACTTCTCCTCGTGACGACCCGAGAGACGACGAGACGACCCAAGTTGACGTTGGGTCCGCGCCCTGCCGTTGGGCGTGTGCGTCCGCAGGAAAAAGTTGCAACAATATGTCCAGTAGTGATCTGGCTCCTCCAGAGGCTAGAATAAGGGTACCCTATTTTTTTCTGTTGTCTATTTTAGTGGGGGAACCCTCCCCCAAAAAAAGGGTAAAAGGGCACTGGGAGACCTATTCCCTTTAAAACCAACAGGGGGAAACAACAAAAAAACAGCCAGACCAAACAGCCAGAAGCCGGAAGCTCCCCCCAATTGGCCTCAATGGAACCAAGTCTTCCACTTCGGGGCTCAGCTTCCGTGGAAGAATCAAACTGGGCCTTTGGTTGGAGGTTGGGGCTTCAGGAGCTTCCCATTCTGAACAAGAAGGGCTTCAAATGCCACCGTTAAAACCACCGTGGCTCAACCTGAGTAATTCTGGTCTGACTTTTTTTGAGCTTGGGCCGCCCAAAACAGTTTTCCATGGTTTTCCTTTTGGCTTCCCTTTAAGACCACCAAACAAGGGGGTACCAACTCTAAAAAGGACGGACCCATGTCTCGCCAGGGTTTTGGCGTTCGAAGTCGCAGCATCCTCCGTGAGGTTGTCCACCAGCAGCCCCTGCCCCACGGTGCCAAAAGCGATGATGCCTGAGGATCGTCCCGCGTGCGCTGGACGACCCGGCTTCAACCTAATCATTCAGGGGCTGCTTCCCCAAAAGAGGAAAGGATGTTCTCTGCCCCAAATAATCCAACGGGTTTTGTTTGCCCTGGGTTCCACTGCTTGGATGCTCGGCCAAGGAAGTTCATCACCTTGGGCATGACACTTGACTAGTGCCCGAAACCCACTCACAGGTGGTTCTACCAGCATGGTTATAAAGGTTGTCACGATCCTTGTTGCAATCCCCATGAAACCATGTAGAACCTCCTAACATGGTCAATAGGAAGCCGTTTTGGGTGCTCACATGTGGGGGTTGATCAACAATCCTGGCCCGCAAATTTCCATGAATAACTGTTCTCATTTAGTGGGAGCTATCATCGCTCTCGTGGTTTTCCAACCAATCGTCATCCTATGTAAAGGATCTTTGATCAACCCCCGTGTTTTGTTGGCTTCAAGACACCACTCCTGGCAGGGTTCCGCTTTTTGACAGCCTCAAGGTAGACTTAAACTCAGGGGTTTCTTTTTTTGGGACATCAACCTCCCTAAGAGACCTGGCTCAGAGGGAAGCTTAGAAAGAAAACGGGACCAACCTCCCGGTCAAAAGCTGAGCTGGAACAGATATCCAGAAGAGAGTCCGGAAGAGAGGTGAAGAGAGCTGGCTCAGAGGGAAGGCGAGAAAGAACACTTCACCAACCTGAGACTCATAGAGGCGAAACGGAGCTGAAACCCTTCGAACAGTTGCACAGTATGTCTCGCGAGGCCGCAAGGGCATCAGGGGGGTCGGATAGCTGTCAGGAAAACACTTAAGAGCCTGGTCTAGGGGTCTGCGGAAATCTGTGGCAGATAACTTTGGAGCGCATCAAAGATCCCAAGGCAAACATCAAAGGTTTGCCCAACAGTTTGAGTAGTGATTGGATAAGGGCATCTCTCAAACTGCGTGGCCTTTCCGTGTGGGTTCCTCTTCTCTTGGTTCATCTTTCAAATGTATGTCAAAATAAGGCGAATCTCCCCAACAACAAAAAGGGACGGCGTGGCGGCTTTCCTGTTGGTTTCCCTCGAAACCGACCCTAAGAAGAGAACCCTCGAGTTTTCCCTTCGACCGACCCCAAGAAGGGCACCCGCAAGAAAAGCACACACGCACACACATTTTTTTTTTAAAAAAAAGCAGAAGCGCCCTACCACGGCCAGTGTGGCCATCGACCCCTAGAATCTCTGCCGGCCCGCGGACGTTCTTCTCTTTGCAGACCTTGGCTGTGGCCTGCAGCTCCGGGCTGTTAAAGCACAGCAAGTTGAACCTGAGGCGTCCCCTCCTTGAAGCCCCCCCCCCCCCAAAGCCACACCGGGCACACCGAAAATCAGAGACGTCGGCCCCCCGTTTTGTCGTGTTGTCTGTTTGTTTGTTTTTGTTTTTGCAGGGCGACCCCCTTTGGTGACTGAGAGGTGAATTGGGGGTCAACATTCAGGTTGTCTGATTCTGTTTCATATTTAGTCCACCTGAAAATCTCAACAAATTGGAGGAGAGGAGGACCCAACCGGAGTGGCTGTCACAACAAAAAAAAAAAGGTGGGCGGGGGTGTCCAACCCTTCCAACATCTCTTCAGGCCTTCGGGTGGGATGTGTTCCCTTTGGTCCCTGGCAAAAGGGCTGAGACCTGGGAGTTGGGCTCTATGGGCTCTATGGACTTTGGTGAAAGCTGGAACCCATTGATTGAAACTCTATCCCCTCCGGAGCATCAAACAAACCGCCGTCCAAAAGGGGTCGGCGTGTTCCATCTGTGGGGTCTAAGACAGGAGCTATCTACCATGATGTGGTCTTCATAGTATGGCCTCAAAAGGTGGCTACTGTGAGTGGGGACTAACAGGCAGCCACTGACTTGTTTGGAAGGAACGATATAATAAATACCGAAGACAAATGGGACAAAGAGATGGGCACACAAAATTGCGGAAACATACATGGAATGAATCAAACAAACCGAACCTCACACATTAACACAGAACCGGACCAGAGACCATTTTCAGCGGAAAAAAAAGACTGAGAAGGGTAACAGCCGTGTTCAAAACCTTCCATTTTCTCCATTTTGGCTGAGCTCAGATAGGGGCACATCGTGCAGGCCCTGAAGCATCCTACCCTGGCCCCGCTGGAGGTTTGGGGGTCGCCTTTAAGTCGGGAACAGGATTCCGCTGAGGAGCATGCTCCTCCAGATTATTCCGAAGCTGGCACTAGCTGCCAGTTCAAACATCCATTCGTTCGACAAAAAAAAACATAGTGAGATTCCTTGGGCGTGCTGTTTACGGGCTGAATATGAGAAGCCCAGCTGTTGGAAACATCTCGAGTTGTTCCCTAAAAGTGATTGCAGTCTTTTCAACTGGACAAAACTGAAACAAGCTCCACCAAATCCCCCGCTTTTATTTGCTGATTCTCAGTAGGGAATCACCGTCAGGATTGGGAACGAGCTGTTTCGGGATACCCTCAACGGGAGCCACAAAGGATGCGTTTCGTCGGGGTCATTCCGGAAACAACTCCCACCCTATCGAACCAACAAAAACGATCGGTCTACCCAAAGCCCATGGGAAAGAACCAAAAGGGCAATTTTGGAGAGTACCCTTTTTGGGAGGTTTTTTAAAAGGAAAACCAAAGGGAAACCACCCAATTGGGGGCCCCCCCTATGCAAATACCCACACCTGATGTTGACTCAGGATTAATAAACCCGTCCCAAATCATTAGGGGCGTGTTCCCTCCAAAAGTGATGAATCCCCACTAAAAGGGGACACCCCCCTATTAATCAACCAGGTATGGTTGGTTGGCACTTTTGTCCATTGCTATCCCTCCATTTGCTTAAATCCCCTGGAAAAAAATGCAAATATTTCCAGTAGTGATAGATTCCCTTTAAAACCAACATGGGGAAAAATGTATACTAAAATAAAAATAAAAAAAATGGAAGTATCTGAGCAGAAGCCCGAGGCACATGATCTGGTTCGCCGCGATGCGGCACCCGTGCTTCTCCGCCTCCGCGCATGCGCGCTGCACCTCAGCGTCGAGTCTTTCAACAGATCCGACCGCGGCAGAAACTCAGTTGTTCAGTGACCCTGGAAAAAAAGGGAACCCTTTTTGGGGCTTGGGCCAGTTTTTAGTAGGGCAACCACCCAAAAAAGAGGAAAAAGACTTGGTGCCACTGAACAACTGAGGAAAGTGAGAAACTTGTGGCTGGTTAAAAGGGGAAAAGGCGAAAAGTTTCAGACCCGCAGAGCGGCTTTAAGTCAGCCCCTTGAGGAAAATTGAGCCACAGGGTCAATTTCAATCCCCCCATCACGTCCGTGGAATAGTCCTGACCAGAATCATACAGGTACCAACAAAACTCGGTCCATGTGCTCCAGGAGATTCCCCAACACAACCCTCGAGTAAAACAAATTGACCCTCAAATTTAATGAAAACAACTTACAGGTACACAAAAAACACGACATTGTCCACGGGCTGTTCACCGCAAACCCTTCAATCCAAGGCCTTCAGTGACGGATTGGAACCACGGCCAAGGCCGTAGGTTTAAACCCGTGGCCAACCAAAGGAAAGGCATGGGGAGAAAAACTAAACTGAGAATGCTTTTCGTTGGCTCCCCCTCAAACCCCAACCACACAAGGGTTTGGTGTAGGGTTGGTCTAGGTTTGGTTTTGATAGGTGGGTTTGGTTCCCCTTCACACCCCAACAAGGCTTTGAGGTTGGTTAGGTTTGGTTAGGTGGGTTTTTACTCGAGTTGGGTTTCTGCCATTTGCTTCAGCCCCCGGGAAAAAATATGTCCAGTAGTGATAGATTCCCTTTTTAAGTCTTAAGCAAATGGGGGGGTTAGTGGCAAACACCTTTATTTCCCAAAACGTTAAAAGTCTAAAGATCCAACCCAATTGGAGTCAAGTGGTTCGGTGGGTTTTTCAGGTGGGTTTTTCGGGTCGCTTTGGGTCCGCCTGTTGTGCGTTGCAGTTGGAGATGCCGATCTCGCGGATGAGGCCCTCCTTCTTAGCCTTCGCCGCAGCCCGCACCCAAACCTCGCACCAGGTGGCATGGACTGAGTGCCCCAAAAACCCATTAGCTTTTGGCTCTGCCATGCAGAATACCCAGGCCCAACTCTGCCCCAACCTTGGTAGGGGAGCATAGTTTAAACTTTAGCAGTTAAGTGGGGACTTCCCACTAGACCCCAATAAGCAAAATTGTCAAATGCTTCCCAACAACAACCATGCAACAACATGGTTGCATCTGCAGGTCGGTCGACTTCTTGTTTTTTTGACCGCTGTTCGCTCCCAAGAAGCAAAGGGCGCGTGAAAAGAGGCCTGGAAGGAGGTTCGGTGCCCTCTGGGTTGGGTGAAGTACGCCTCCTTTTGGCAGAAGCAGCCAACCCACCTCTGGATGGTTGGCAGGGAAACCGACCAAAGAAATCAACCAGTTGAACGATGCACCCAATTGAGGACATACAATGCAATACTGCAGATGGCAAGTAGTGGAACAAGGACCCTCTGATTTACCCTCATCTGCGCTTCTTGTTCGGTTCCGTGTGGCTTGGCCACCATGCAATGTAGGAAATCAGCTGTGCCGGAGTACAGCCAAAGCCAGCCCCGAAACTGGATCCACACATCGCGAGACCCGCATAGACCCGCAAGCCGCACACCTCCAGCGGCAGTGGGTGGATGGGAGTGTGGATGAAGTAGATGTCCTCAGGCACTGACCAAAGTTCTTCCCGATAAACAATCAACAAGCGCGCCTTCCTGTGGGTTGATGTAGCAGTGTGTTGCCCCTTGTGGGGTGAGAGCTTTTTGTTGCTTGCCTGAGTATCAACAGGACCTCTTTGATGGACAGTCTGTATGAGAGGGGGGTCTCTGCGCCACACCAAATCTGAACGATCGCCTTGAACATCCAAACCGGGGGAAGCATGTACGGGGTATGCCATGTATGAACAGTATATAGTATAAACCATACAAAGACATCTGCAACATGCATAGGGTTTAGCCGGACTATTTTGACATACCCATATGATGGGAATTATCTTGAATAAACCTTTTGGTGCACATCAAAACTCGGTGGGGATTCATGCCCACCAACCACTTTGGAGGTGGTCCAAATCCCTATTTTGACAAGCCATTCCCAGAAAAGTGTCTTCTTTTGAGGATACCCCGTTTGGAGGGGAAAAAAGGGAAACGAAAAGGACACCGGTGCCATTTGCTTAACTCCCCCATTTTCTTCGCCAAGAATAGGGGCACGCTTCACAAGGGATAGGACACCTTCCACGAGGGGAACTGTTCAGGATGTTCTAGCATGTTTTTGAATGTTTTTGCATTTTGGCTTTGAGCTGGCCCTTCCGCCCTCCATTTGATTAAGTCCCCTGGAAAGAATGAGAACATCTTTCCAGTAGTGAAATCGATTCTCTTTAAAACCAATAGGGGAAAACAAAAAACTATATTCTTCACCAAATGGCAGTTCATGACATTTCCGGCCGGTCCCTCCGGACTCGCTCCATCTCCGGCTTCGCCCCCCGATTTTTCGATTTCGAGGCGCCGAGCGGGTCTGCCCCAGGCGCTTCAAGGAGCTCTTGAGCGCGCGCCGGAAGCTGGCCTCCGGGTGATGTCAGGTGGGCGGCGTCCGGTTTTTTGGATGGTGCGGTACCCGTTTGTTGGGCGTTGAAGAAGGGGAAAAGAAGGAAAACCCCTCCAACTTTTTTCAGGGGCGATTTGGAGAACCCGAGTGAGTCTCTGGCTCTGGGTTCCATGCCGTCGGGTTCTCGCCAAGTGAGTCAAGTGAGTCAAGCAAGTCAAGCGAGGGCAGGAGGGAGGAAGCAACCAAAACTGCAACCACACAACCAAAACACAACCACTCCCTCCACACAACCAACTGCCCTCCACTCATTTTCCACAACCAAAACCTGGCCCCCATCGCGCCCATGGGGTTCGAACCTTCGCTTGGCTTGGAATATGGGCTCGTCTTCTAGGCTGGACCCAAACATGGCTTCGGCTTCCTTGTTCGCTCCCGATTCATTTAGGCCAGGTTTTGAGACCCCCAAACACCTCTGGGGTATCCAATGGAGGGGTCGGGCGGGGCTTCCATTGAAAGCCCCCCACTAAAAGGGGGCCCCTGATCAAAGTCAACCAGGGGGTCCACATAGATCCTGGGTTTCCCACTAAAAGAACCCTCCCCTTGACAACATGTGTCTTTCTTGACGGGTTTGAGGGGAAACAAAGCTCAAAACCGAAGCCATTTTGCGCGGGGCAGCCTTAGAAAAGCCAGTACTTTAGGGCCTGTCCACTCGCAGGATCGCAGGCCTTGCATCGTCAGCATCACCACCAACACATCCACAAGACTTGAGAGTTACATCCAACCCTCAACCCTACACCCAAATCACTCAGGTGGAACTTAATGTTTTGATGGTTTTCGATTCGTGGACTTGAACCCACCAATAGAACCCTCCAAGCCTCACCAGCCCGAGCGCCCTCCATACCCCGCCACCATCCGACCATCCGGAACCGCCTCCGTCCAGCGCAGCAGCGTGGGCAGAAACTTCGTGGCCACCACAGGGCCCGTCCTATGCGAGCAGCCCATCCGATGTAACGGTTTGGGTCAAAGGCAAACCACCCGTTGGAAATAATATGGCAACCAAATCGTACCCCGAGTTAACATCCCAATCCCCACTAAAATAGACTAAAATGGGTGGTGCACCCACCCCAAAATGGGATCCAATTGGTTTTGACAACCACAGCCATATATGAAAAAGGACACTGAATCCCACCAAGCTGCTTGCTTGACGCACCAGCAAGTGTTACATGCACTGAAAACAAGATATGACCGAGTCTCATATTTAGTCTACCCTAAAAATATGAAAGGAGACAAGCTTTGGACTCGGTTTCTCAGAAACAAAAATGCAGTTCTATCGGAAGTTTGTCGAAACCCTGGACATTTGGTGGGTATGCGAATTTCCAGCAGCGCCTCCTGCTACTTTCCAGGGTGGGGTGGTCATCCAAGAGCGGGGCGTTTCCAGCCGGCATTGCAGACGAAGACCCCTGTTGCAGCCAACCCAACAGCTATAGAACATAATCGGACTGCTGGATGCTGGATAAATGTCCATTTGTAGCGAACGCGCGAAATCTTTGAAGGAATGTAAAATTTGGAGCGTGCCACTGAAAAATTGGGGCTCCAAGGTAAAGCCTCTGAACGGCCAATGAGGGTTTTGGGCGTGTGAACCCCCCCAAATGGTAGCTCCCCGCTTCTTTCCAGGGATCTCTCTCTCCAAGAGAAGCTGCCGGAGTTCCTTTGCCCCGACCCACCCCAGGGGTTGGGAGTCCAAATCTCCAGTGGGGGGAAAAACGGGGCACCACCCTTTGCTTGAGCTTGAGCAACCCCTCGCCGCATCGAACGCGGAGCCCGGAGCCCGGAGTGCAAAACATCGGCTCGCCTCTTCTCATCCGCAACCATCAGCTCCATGTCCCGGAGGCGTTCCTCAGCCCGGCGCTCGGTGAAATGAAATCGGGGCCATGTGTGAAAGGAAACCGCCCTGACCCAACAAGTCTCGGATCACAATTTCGGAAGATGTCAGGGATGCCTGGAGGTTAGGCCGAAGGGAAAACCGAAGCCCATTTTGTGGGTCCCCTATCCCATGACCAAACCAAGGGGTCTGGCAGAAGCCGCCCTCAAGCCCTGCATGGGTGACAGCAGGTGAAAGGGCGGAAGCACAAGCTTTCTGTGGGTAGGATGCCTTACTCAACAGGAACTTCTAATTGCCCAACAACCTGTTTGGGTCAATTGCTGCTTGCCAAATGTCTCTATGCCACAAGGCCCTCCCGCAAGGTTCCGGATGCAGGTTACCTGAAAAGGAACAAAGATGCTGTACGTGCTGCTTTTGGTGCATAAGTAGCATCTCACCAATAGGATACGTGCAGACACCCAAGAAAACAGGTGGTTTTCCTCGGGGTTGCCCTTCAAACCAAGCTGCAAAAGGGGGCCGACGTCGTGGCATGGACACCTAGAGTGTATTTCGCAACCAAGAACCCTTAAAAAAAGAAAAAGAAAAAAAATCCCTAAAGGAAGGAGTTTGCAAAACAGACCCTAAGTGTCCATCACACTTGGGCCCTGGTCCCTTCGCCACGAGGCAAAAAAAAAACACCGCCCCACGAGCCTCTCGCCGCGCGCCGCGCGCCGCCCGCTGGCCCTGCCTCGCTGGTGCCGCCCCCGTAGCCCTCTGCGGTGTCGAAGAGCTGAATGCCATGGACCTCCCGAAGGCGCAACGAATCCGCCGACCCGCCTGGTCCAGAATGGACCATGCTTTCGGCATGGGGGCGGGAAGGGGGGTCAGGGGTCAGTCGACTTCAGGGGTCAGGGAAGGTCAAGGTGACAGGGCGGTCAGGAAAATGCAGGGGGTCCAGACAGGGTGTAGGAGGGGGTAAATGGGGCTCAGGCGGTGGGGTCCAAACCAACAAATTGCATTTCAGTCCCACAAAATGTCTTGAAAAGGGGAACCTTTAAGATTCCCGTTACGCCACAACTAAAGGATACCCTCAAAAAAGAATATACGTGGGGGTTGATCACGAGGTCCTTTACATGGGATGACCATTGGGAAAAGCTGGGGATGACCATTGGGAAAAGCCACTAAAACAATGATACTTCCCACATAACCTACCCATGCGAAATCTGGGGATGACCATTGGGGAAAGCCACTAAATCGATGATACTTCCCACATACCCTACCCATGCCAAAACTGGGGATGACCATTGGGGAAAGCCACTAAAACGATGATACTTCCCACATAACCTACCCGTGCCAAAACTGGGGATGACCATTGGGGAAAGCCACTAAAACGATGATACTTCCCACATAACCTACCCGTGCCAAAACTGGGAATGACCATTGGGAAAAGCCACTAAATCGATGATACTTCCCACATAACCTACCCATGCCAAAACTGGGGATGACCATTGGGGAAAGCCACTAAAACGATGATACTTCCCACATAACCTACCCATGCGAAATCTGGGGATGACCATTGGGGAAAGCCACTAAATCGATGATACTTCCCACATACCCTACCCATGCCAAAACTGGGGATGACCATTGGGGAAAGCCACTAAAACGATGATACTTCCCACATAGCCTACCCATGCCAAAACTGGGAATGACCATTGGGAAAAGCCACTAAATCGATGATACTTCCCACATAACCGCCCATGCCAAAACTGGGGATGACCATTGGGGAAAGCCACTAAAACGATGATACTTCCCACATAACCTACCCATGCCAAAACTGGGGATGACCATTGGGGAAAGCCACAAAAACGATGATACCTCCCACATAACCTACCCATGCCAAAACTGGGGATGACCGTCGGGGAAAGCCACTAAAACGATGATACTTCCCACATACCCTACCCATGCCAAAACTGGGGATGACCATTGGGGAAAGCCACTAAAACGATGATACTTCCGACATAACCTACCCGTGCCAAAACTGGGGATGACCATTGGGGAAAGCCACTAAATCGATGATACTTCCCACATACCCTACCCATGCCAAAACTGGGAATGACCATTGGGAGCCACAAAACGATGATACTTCCCACATAACCTGCCCATGCCAAAACAGGGGATGACCATTGGGGAAAGCCACTAAAACGATGATACTTCCCACATAACCGACCCATGCCAAAACTGGGGATGACCATTGGGGAAAGCCACTAAAACGATGATACCTCCCACATAACCTACCCATGCCAAAACTGGGGATGACCGTCGGGGAAAGCCACTAAAACGATGATACTTCCCACATATTCTACCCATGCCAAAACTGGGGATGACCATTGGGGAAAGCCACAAAAACGATGATACCTCCCACATAACCTACCCATGCCAAAACTGGGGATGACCGTCGGGGAAAGCCACTAAAACGATGATACTTCCCACATACCCTACCCATGCCAAAACTGGGGATGACCATTGGGGAAAGCCACTAAAACGATGATACTTCCGACATAACCTACCCGTGCCAAAACTGGGGATGACCATTGGGGAAAGCCACTAAATCGATGATACTTCCCACATAACCTACCCATGCCAAAACTGGGGATGACCATTGGGGAAAGCCACTAAAACGATGATACTTCCCACATAACCTACCCATGCCAAAACTGGGGATGACCATTGGGCAAAGCCACTAAAACGATGATACTTTCCACATAACCTACCCATGCCAAAACTGGGGATGACCATTGGGGAAAGCCACTACAACGATGATACCTCCCACATAACCTACCCATGCCAAAACTGGAGATGACCATTGGGGAAAGCCACTAAAACGATGATACTTCCCACATAACCTACCCGTGCCAAAATCGGGGATGACCATTGGGGAAACCCACTAAAACGATGATACCTCCCACATAACCTACCCATGCCAAAACTGGGGATGACCATTGGGGAAAGCCACTAAAACGATGATACCTCTCCCACAGAACCTACCCATGCCAAAACTGGGGATGACCATTGGGGAAAGCCACTAAATCGATGATACTTCCCACATAACCTACCCATGCCAAAACTGGGGATGACCATTGGGGAAAGCCACTAAAACGATGATACTTCCCACATATCCTACCCATGCCAAAACTGGGGATGACCATTGGGCAAAGCCACTAAAACGATGATACTTCCCACATAACCCACCCATGCGAAAACTGGGGACGACCATTGGGGAAAGCCACTGAACCGATGTTGCTTCCCACATAACCTACCCATGCCAAAACTGGGGATGACCGTTGGGGAAAGCCACTACAACGATGATACTTTCTACATAACCTACCCATGCCAAAACTGGGATTTCCATTGGGGAAAGCCACTAAAAAGATGCCAAAACTGGGGATGACCATTGGGGAAAGCCACTAAAACGATGATACTTCCCACATAACCTACCCATGCGAAAACTGGGGATGACCATTGGGGAAAGCCACTAAATCGATGATACTTCCCACATACCCTACCCATGCCAAAACTGGGTATGACCATTGGGGAAAGCCACAAAAATGATGATACTTCGGACATAACCTACCCGTGCCAAAACTGGGGATGACCATTGGGGAAAGCCACTAAATCGATGATACTTCCCACATACCCTACCCGTGCCAAAACTGGGAATGACCATTGGGAAAAGCCACTAAATCGATGATACTTCCCACATAACCGACCCATGCCAAAACTGGGGATGACCATTGGGGAAAGCCACTAAAACGATGATACTTCCCACATAACCTACCCATGCCAAAACTGGGGATGACCATTGGGGAAAGCCACTAAAACGATGAAACTTCCCACATAACCTACCCATGCCAAAAATGGGGATGACCATTGGGGAAAGCCACTAAAACGATGATGTGTCCCACATACCCCTGACACAACTCCGATGATATGTCCCACATGGGAAAACTTAGCCACAACTCCGATGATATGTCCCACATGGGAAAACTTAGCCATGCTCCAAACCGGGGGCCGAAGGGACGATTCATCCGGCAGGGCCTCAAAAAAGGGTAGCCTCAAAAAAGACGAGCCACCCATGTACCCTGAACGAACCTTGGCCGGTAGGGTCATGCCAGTCGTGACATGCCATGGGCCATGCGCCTCTGTGAGCTCCTTGTAGATGGCCGCGCAGGTCTCGTCCGACAAGTTGCCTTCCGATCGAAACGCGGAAGGCCGAAGGATGGCTTCGAGGCTTCGACTCGATCGTCGGTGACCATTTTGGAGGCGATGCATTTGTTGGGGGGCGGCGAAAAAAAAGGCGGAAAAAAAACACGAGGGAAAGACACAAGGTGCCAAAAAGGTCGATGGCTTTGGGCAGATTTTAAACAGGGGAACTGTGGACATCATTTAGGGGTGGTGTCTGATTAGGATAGGTGGGTGATTCTGCGGCAACTTGTTGTTTTGGGTGGTTGGTTCGATGGGTTTTGGAGGCAACCCCCGGTTTCTTCGCCATGCAACTGGTTTTTCAGAGGCTCCCCTTCTGGTTGTCCAAACCTGGTGGTTCTCATTCATTCTCGGGGAAGCACGTCATGCATTCGCACCGGAACCCGGGAGATTTGCCCCGGTTTTCTGGGGATGAGGAACGAGTTCATCATGTCCAGGCCCCCAACAGCTTGAAAACTATGTGCACATTATATATATATATATGAATAGGTTTTATTTCAAAAAGAAAAAACAAAACAGACATATCTTTGCAAACCCCCCCCCCCCAAAAAAAAAAAAAAAACAACGAGGAACCGCTTCTGTACAACTAGAGGTCTGGTCCACTTTGAGCAGCTTCCCTACGCCTCGGTTCAGCTTCTCGTCCAGCCAGGTGCGGCCCCACTGCATGGTGCCGATGGCCAACGGCCATCGCAGCTGCAGACCGCCGATCTGCGCCTCGCCTGCGCCGCGAGACGACACCGCGAAAATTTATCCGCCTGGAGTGGTGGCTGTAAGGCTGTAAGGACCCCCCCGTGCAGCTGCAAGTTGTTTTTCCTTTTTCATGGGTATGCGGAAAGCTGCAGATTTGTTTAATAAAACAAAAACGACAACCACTTTTCATGGGTATGCGGGAACTCTGAGCGCCATGCCCAAGTTGAAGTGACAAGATCCGTTGACCAAAGAGCCATAAAAGGACGCAGGGCGTTTTGTTTGGGATCTGGGTAGCTCCAAGCACGGAACCAAATGTCGAGAAAACTTTAGGCTTCATTCGGAAAAGCCAAATTTGCGTCGCAGAGCCCGGGGTTCCTCGTGCCACACCCCGCACTGCTTCAGGGACGCCACAAAGGACCTACTTTGAGGCCACACATTCCATCAGGACCCTTAGGTAGTTTTTCTGCAGGGTCGGTTTAGGGATACCTGCTTTGCAAAATCGTCCCAACCCAACTTGGGATTGTGGATGTGGGAAGAAGCAGGCAAGTTGGGGGGTGCTAATTGGTGGACAACTTTTGCATAAATGCCCGACATATAACTCTGGCACCCAAAACCGACAACCAAGAACACAAACCCAATACGATATCACTGCAAAACTGATAGTGGCCCAACCACTCAGGAACCCAGAAATCCATAAATTTGCTGTTTTACAGGTGGTGTCCCTTTAAAGCAGCCCCAAAAAGGGCACCTCAAAACAGCACCACCCATGTAGGAACCCACCACAGCCCGCGCCACTTGCCTTCCATGAGCGGAATCTCTTCTGGGCAAGCCGTCTCTTGGAGCCAAAGTAGAGCAAAGCGTGCGGATTCGTGCGATGAGTCACAATCCAAACCTGGACAACCTCCATTTGATTCAGACTCCTGGAAATAACAAAAAATACAGTAGCGATAAATTCCTTCTAACACCAACAAGGGAAAACAAAACAAATAGTTTTAAGCAAATGGAAGTAAAGTGGTATTGGGTAGACCGTAGACCAACTAAAACGTCAAAAGGCTGGCCGCACCTGGTTCTCGTTGGGACTGCCCCTACTCTTCAGATTGTGGCTCATATGACTCATATGGGCTTGCATTCTTTTAGGGGAAAGTGTGTTTACCTAGATTTGAATGGAAACCAAAAGAAGCACCTTTTTGGGACATTTTGGCCCATACCCATATGCGAAGTCCTTGACGCGACTTGGCCCCGCGCGTGGGGCAGACCTCGGGCTGAGCCCCTTCTGGCTTTGGGAAATCTATCCCCCCCCGATTCGAGTCCCTTCATAACTCTGTCCTCAGATCCCCCACTAAAAGAGACTAACTCTTAGTGGGTGAAATGGACACCCAACCGCCGAACCAACTAAAAAGCTAACAAGCGAAGGAACCAAATGGCTGGGAGCCACCAAAAGAACCAGTAGTCTTGACACATCATAAAATTAAACAACTGCAGGGGCGCCAGGGCCTGGCTCTTTAATACATGGGTTTGGAGATCAACAGATCCTCCGAACAGGTCCGTTTCAAAATGAGTTGCTGTGAAGACACCCCGCTGGCGTTGACTAAAGTGAGGAAGAAGTCGGTTCAACAAGCAAGATGTGAGAAGCTGTACATGGATATATGCAGGAAAAATACATATACAATATGTATATAAATGTTGTGCTGTAACGTTGCATATCTTAGGTGTACAAAACAATGCTTCCATGGAATTTGGATCTCCATGCCCTGATGGCGTGTAACGGTGAAAAACAAAAAAGACGGGTCCTTTTTCGGCAGCCTTGCTTGGGAAACGCCTCAGAAAAGGCACCACTGGTCTGTGCATCAAATCTCATCTCCAACCCTAAGCCAAGGGGGAAACATGGATTTCAGCGATCAGTTTTCATAGCTGGAAATAGAAAGGAGAGGGTTGAAGAACGAATGTGGTTGAGGGAGATCTCATCCTTTCCATGTCATTCGTCATCCTTCCTACCTGTCTGTGGTTCAAGGGTTTTACGGTCAACTGCTGTCCTCGTTCCTCACCTACACAATAGTTCGCTATCTAGGACAGCCTTGAATGGAATTACCTTCATGTGGAGTGCGGGTCACATCCCTTAAGCTACTTGTATTAGGAATCACGCTCGGCCTTCCCTCCCTTTTTTCACTCCAGCAAGTAGTTTGTACAAAACAGAGAAACTAGTCCGGAAAGTTTCGGGGTTGCTTTGGCATCCAACCAATCCAAGTCGGCATCACTTTCGGAAGCAAGGCGGAATCACGTCCTTGGTGCAAAAAAGTGGGTAGCATTAGAGCTAACCATCATCGGCGACTTGGAGAATGCCTTTCCGTGCAGGCGGGCGGGCCTAAGACGGAAGCACTACGAGCAAAAGGGAGGAGCGGCGCGGCGGATTCCTAAACTTCGAACCGTATGTCAAGGAATCACGCTCGGCCTTCCCTCCCTTTTTTCACTCCAGCAAGTAGTTTGTACAAAACAGAGAAACTAGTCCGGAAAGTTTCGGGGTTGCTTTGGCATCCAACCAATCCAAGTCGGCATCACTTTCGGAAGCAAGGCGGAATCACGTCCTTGGTGCAAAAAAGTGGGTAGCATTAGAGCTAACCATCATCGGCGACTTGGAGAATGCCTTTCCACGTTCCCCTGCTCTCCGATATATCGGTAGCTCAAGTGCTTTAAGTTTATTGAACCACATGGTCTGAAAACACCTTTGCTTACGTGACATGACCCACGAGTGCTCGGTTAGAAGTGCAACTCCATCGGAGATATAAATGCGGGCAGTTCTTTCTGAAGCCCATCGCCCCTGCTGGCACACTTGAGTGTAGCTTTTAGTGTCAATATACAAGGCGGTAGCACCTCCCCTTCTCAAGGAGTAAGGCTTGAACCCCGTGAATTGGCACTTTTGGATGGCTTGGCTGAAGGACAACCTGAACTGGTATTGCGACACAGGCACAAGATAATCATGTGGCTTGGCTACGGAGGCCCATGCCTGCAACAGTTGAGCCGTGTAGATATGATGAATGTACACGTTTTCCACACCGGCATTGCGAGATGTCATTTTTGTCTCACCCAAATGAATTAGTACATGTGCCCCTGAGGGGATCACATGGCAGGCTTGTATTTTTAGAAGCTCACCAGTGCGCAGCAAGCCCCAAAAACCTGTCAAGAGGGCAAGAGGCATCCAAGGGGTGGTTAAAGTACATCCACACAAGACCTCAACTTGTTCTTTTGTGAAGGGCGGAGCCCGTGCAGGCAATTCATTCTGGGCCCAAGCCTTCAGCAGGCGCCAGGCCTGTGGTATGTGCCCCTTTACCGAGGGTTGCAAATGCTGCACACCTGAAAAAGTATCAGCGGCCAAGTAGCGGCTTTCACCTTCTTCCCATAGATGCTCAAGATAGTCCGACAGTTGAACATCTAATTCAGGATTGGATTTAGCAAGCGCTAAGCGGTGGTTCCTCTGATACTGCAAGAATGAAGCAAAAGCACGATCATATCGGACTTTTGTGGCTGGCTTGATTATGAGGCTCTTCAAAGTTCCTAGTTTTTGCCGACGCTCCTTACGCACCTTTTCCTTAGGGGAATCCACTACGCAACGCTTGACCATTTGCGTTTGGACCTCCTGCGACTGGGTTCGTCTGCGGGGTTCAGGTGCGTCGATACGTATCCTAGGATCATGATGGAGCCACTTACCAAGAGCCAAGCTGACAATCGTTGCATCACTCGGCGCAACTTACGCGAACTGGACCGTCCCTTCGAGGAGGCCTGTAGCACGACTAGGCTATCAACCAAATGCACAAAACGAACAGGCGCCCGATGCAAACGGCAAACTCTCCATTTCACTGATGACAACAGTGCACGCAATTCCAACTTATTTATATGCTCTGGAAGCATACCTGTCACCCGTTTCCACTGCCAGTGACACACCGTTTTCCACTTCCACAGGCGCGGATCCAATCCCACTCTCAGGCGTTGATGCTGGGGCAAGCTGTCGTGTTCCTGGCTCAGGAGCAGGTCGGCTCCCTTTTGTGACACCAAAGTAGAGAGCTTTTTCACCAAGGATATGGAAAGGTCTGTGGCTTTGCCCATTCGCGGTCGTTCCCAGTGAGGGCGCTGCAGAAAACCCACTAGGTCTGGCGAAGCGCCGGGCCTCAATCGCTCTTCCAATTGCACAACGCTGAGGCGGGCACACAAGTTGAAAGGGCGCAAAAGAGACATCAACAGGAACGCGGTGACTCCTACAGACCAGGAGTTTCCCAGCAAACTGCATCGAGTGTCATTCAACAGCAATGGGTTAGATTTTCTTTCACCTTTTGGAATGCACTCTGCTGTGTAATCCAATGGGAAACCCATGCATGTCTCTCTCTCACGAGTGCTGAGGATTCTCCACCCAAACTTGCGATGCTTCAATCCATGAATGACACGATATTGGTATGGAGGAAATCTGTAGCGGTCCTTCTCCCACACCAGGAGCTCATCCGCTGTGCATTGGCTAATCCCCGCAGGTCTAAAACCTGGTTGGCATTTGGGAATACTGGTTGTCAAGGTGGGGAAACGATGGTCCTTGCCAGACACGGGTTCCCACCCCGGCTCCAGGTAGTGACAAACCTCTACATCTACCTGGAAGGAGATTCGACCATATTCGTGAGGCTTTGATGAATGAGGCAATTGGATGCACACATTGTCCTCACCTTCAACAGGGAAGTCAAACCACCACAACCGAGGCCGTCGGCATGGGCTCAGTCCTGCAGCATCTACCACATAGGGCAAAACTTTGAGTTCGGTGGTGAATGCAGCCCTGTCACCCTCTGACATGCTGAAAACATTCTCAACCAACTTTCGCACACTGGCCCAGGGCATGTGAATTTTGACCCATTCAACAATTGGCTGGATCAGCTGGAACAGCTTTGTCCTAGGGTCGTGCAACGCCCCTTTTCGGCTAGCATTTAACTGGCTAATTTTTGGCAAGGAGGACCAGCTGACACCAACACCACTTTAGCACGTTGGAAGCGCCTAGCCCAATTCAACACATTGGCCTCTGAGATTTGCGTGACATCATCTTCAAACAGGACTGATGGGAAAGCGCGTTCCACGACCCTCCGGGCTGGTGCGGCACATTCAACGGCAATGTAACCACACACATTGGCTTCAATGAGCTCAAGAGCTACTCGACATGCTCCAATCCCATCAAACAGCGAGATGACCAACACACCGTCATCGCCTAAGAGGTCTGGTTGTTCCCCCCTTACGGTCTTAAATGCGGCCTGCTGCCCCATTGGAGTGAGACCAACAGATTGGCAGACCCCGCCTCCGTGCTCGGAAGCGTCCGAGCATGTGACAACCTCGCTGAACTCGGCTCCAAAGCAAATGTAGGCCAGCGGGGCAAGACTAAGGCTCAACCAGAGTTCTTTCTTAACCTCAGTGGGTATTGGAAACATGGCAGTCCCCGAAGGATCCTGGCGCCCGAGCTCTACCAGAAATGACCAACATTCATTAAGGTTGGCCATCAGCGGACGGCGGAACTGAAAGAGGTACACCAACCCTCCCAAGGCAATTTGCAACTGCTTTAGGCTGGCGACAGTTTGACACAGCAAGAAGAAACTTGCCCTGAGGTACCTGACGAACTTTTCAGGCTTCGGGTAAGCTATATTCCTAACTCCATCTACCAGGGCACCTTGCACTTCAGCTGTCGATGCTCGGCTGACAGACTTCTTCTGGTTGGCTGGCACTTTCAACTTCTCGTGCTCTCGTCTAAGAGCATCCGAAGAGGGGGCTCTGGATCCCTTCAAGACTTCTG